GGGAGAAATAGACAACTCCACAACGGTCCTCCGAAGTGAAATTGCCGCACTGGGTACGCGAACGGCTCGCCTGGAAGAGAGGCTGGAGGCTACCAACAAGGCCCACAACACAGCAGTCACGAACATCAACGGGCTGGCGGCCCGCGTGGCAGAGGCCGAACTCGCCATAGAAGATATGGCCAACAGGTCACGGAGAAACAATCTCCGTCTACGCGGCCTACCTGAGGGGGAGAGAGAAGGTACGCTGCCGGCGGTACTTATGGCCATCTTCAAGCCCCTACTGCCGGACCTCCCGGAGGAGAGATGGCACATGGAAAGGGCGCACAGGGCCCTGCGCGCCAGAAGCAACGATGCAAACTCCCCCAGGGACGTTATCGTCCGCTTCTTGTTTTACCAGACCAAGGAAGCCCTGATGAGAAAGAGCAGGGAGGTCAAGATGGTGCACGAGGGGAAGGAACCCCACTAGCACGCTCCAGAGACGGCGGGAGTGGAGACCGGTCACGGAGGCACTACGCAGTGCGAAAATACAGTACGCCTGGGGGTTCCTGTTTCGACTGATGGCGTTCCGGGGGGGAAGACCCATACCCTCAACCCCAGCGGAGATCCAAAGAGATTCCTGGAGACCCTGGGCATCACTTCCCACGGTGGCTTACCGGAGATGCGGCCAGCGGCCCTCGAGCTGGAGACTCTCCCGACCGAGTGGCAGGAGGTGGGAGCACGTCGGCGCTGACCTCTGAACACGGGAACAGTATGAGGCCTTGGGGGACACGGTGGCCTTCCAGGGGGGGAGCCGGGACTGTCTTGGGTGGCCTCCGTGGTGATGGTGGATAGCGGTAATGAGGGTGGGGCCCTCCAGGTTGTTTGGGAGGGGTTGTGGGGGACCCTGTCATCGCCACACGGAAGGGACACACGGGGGACTGGGACTGACATCCCGGGTTTTTAGATACCTCCATGGCGGTAAAGTGCATATAGCCATGTTATGGAAAAGGAGAGAGACACTGGCTGTAAGACCCTGAGCACCTACCAGCACCACTCACCATACCAGTTTTTGGCTCCCTTTTGCTGGACTCTTCTCTGGTCTTAGCGGGCTGCGGGCCTCTCATCATACCCGCTAGCCTCATAGGGGGCTTATTTGTTTAGCTAAAATGTTGCAGCCATTGATGTATGTATAGGGACCGGGGTGGGTACGCAAATCGCACTTGAAAGGGAACTTGGGGGGTCCCGATGGCAGCTTTAATCGACCCCACCCTATTAGGATGCACTCATGAGGTACACATAAATGGGCAGCGGGCACTTTGCTAACATGGTGCAAGAACTCTCGGCAGTTATTATAGTGTTAAGAGAGAGGGCACACAGGGGGAGACCGTTACACAACACTTAAAACGCAAGAGGGGAAAATTTAAAAATGAGAAAAACGTTTTTTTTTTGTTTTTTTTTTCCACAGCTAAACGAGGCCCCTAAATACGTAACCTCACAATCCAGGTCAAACGGGACCCCAGCTCACACCCACATTAGCATACTATTGATCGGGTGCTTCATGGTTGGGCCATCCCCTGGTCAAGCCCTGTAAAACACAGAACACGGGTACAACATTCTCCCCCTGAGCAACATGAGTCACAGAGGCCCCCTGACGGGAGGGTTGGAACAGGGGGGAGGTGTCCCTACTCTGATCTCGAGCTCGAGAGCCCCATCCCATGAGATAGACTTAGTGCAAGGCTAGAATACTGGCATGTTAGAATACCACATTGTTACCTGCTTAACCACTGTTTCTACTGTTGACATCCCCCGAGAGGCATGAGTCGGGCACATGATGCCCCGAGAATTGGTGTTTTAATTCTATATATGTTGTTATATTCTAGGTCGGTGCTATCTGGCAGATGTTACCTTAAGCGCAATAGCACAATAGCGCGTAAAGGGGAGGGCTCACGAACCTGTTTCTCTTCCAAACACTGGACGCGGACGAGAAGCGGGATCTTGACCCCCACGAAAGTCTGGCGGAGGATAAGACCAGACACTGTAAGTGGTGCACGGGAGGTGCACCATGTCGTTTCTTTGTTTTTTCCCTTTCCTCTTTCTTTTCATCACCTTCCCTCTTTTCTATACTTTTCCTTCTTATTTCCTATTCCACCCCGAGGGGGCAGCGGGGAGACACGATGGAGAGGGGCGCGGCGAGAGCAGAGGTGGGCGCGAGCTGTAGCAGTCAACGCGAAGAGGCCTAATGACGGTTAAACTTACATCACTAAATGTAAAGGGCCTAAACTCCCCAACCAAACGACGGCTATTATTTAAAGAACTCAAAAGGATGGGAACTGACATAGCTTTTATACAAGAGATGCACTTACCGAGACAGGCTAAATTTAGGCTAAAGGACCCCTCCTATAGCTCAACCTTTGAGGCCAGGGCATTGCGCAAACGTAATGGAGTGGCGATCCTTATACGGAACAGCTGCCCCGTCAGGATCGTATCCACCGACTTCGACCCGGAGGGAAGATATATCCTTGTGTCTGGCACCTTGCTATCTCACCATGTCCATTTTCTTAATATATACCCACCAAACCACCCAGATGCAGCTTTCTGGGAGGCGCTGCAGACTACACCACGGGATGGTCATTGTGGGGGGCGATTTGAACGCTACGCCTAGCCCGGCGGTAGACAGGAGGGCAGGCAGTGGCATTCAGCGGTCCCAGGGGAGATGGAGCCAAGATAAACTGCTACAACAGTTTATGGCGGAGACGGGGTTGGTGGACGCGTGGAGAGCACATCATCCGGGCACATGGGATTACACTTTCTTTTCGGCCCCGCATGGATTCTTCCAGAATAGACATGTTCCTTGTAAACGATAAGAGCCTACCACGAATAACTAGCACGGACATTGGGTCCATCACATGGTCGGATCACGCCGACGTCTCACTGACGTTGGGGAGATTGAGCGAGGCGACCCCGTGGACGTGGAGACTTAATGCCTCCCTCCTGAAAGATCAGTCTATAGCAGCCCAGATCAAAACGGAGCTCAACAGTTTTTTCGAGACTAACATTACCCCAGACGTGACATTGGCGACAGTGTGGGCGGCCCACAAGACGGTTATTAGAGGTACCCTAATAAAATTAGCAACTGCAAAAAAGAAACGGAAGTTCCAGAAACTAGAGGGACTCCTGACCGACCTGAAGAGGGCGGAACACCAACACCAGAGTTGTCCGGACGACCTTACTGCGGGTCGACTGAAGGAGCTGAGATTGGCAATCCGCCAGCTACTCCTAGACGACACGGCCAAATCTATTACATGGTCCAAAAGGACCTTTTACGAACATGCAAATAAAATGGACACACTCTTAGCTAGAGTCCTAAAACCCAGACAGAGAGGGGGCCACATTACATCCATTAGACATACCGACGGTTCAACGAAAATTAGTCCCCGAGACATAGCAGAGGTCTTTACGGACTATTAGAAATCCCTCTATAATCATACACCGGGATCTGAGTTGCGGACTGCAGAGGATGTGGCACTGGCAAAAAAGTTTCTGGTAGACTTAGGGTTGCCCAAGCTATCACAGGCAGGTGTGGAAGCACTAGAGGCAGAAATCACGCCAGAAGAGGTGGCGCACGCCATAGTGGCCCTGAAAGGGAATAGAGCCCCTGGACCTGATGGTTTCGACGGAAGCTATTACAAGGAATTCAGAGAAGAGCTAGCTCCCCAATTAGCCGCCCTCTTTAACGATTTTAGATCAGGGGGCGCCCCAGACTTAGACATGTCGCTAGCAACCATAGTCCTGTTGCCTAAACCGGACAAAGACCTGAGCATTCCGAGTAGCTATAGACCTTTCTCACTGATTAATCATGATATGAAAGTCCTGGCAAAGATACAGGCGACAAGACTGAACCCTTTTTTAGCTACATTGGTAGATGCAGATCAAGTGGGGTTCGTGCAGGGCAGACAGCTGTTCGAGAACACCCGAAGGAACATTGATATTATTTGGAAGCAGAAAATTACGCACACACAGACCTTGCTGGTCTCCTTAGACGGCGAAAAAGCGTTTGACAGGGTCACGTGGACGTACTTGCTCACACTCCTTGTTCACTACATCCTTGTTCAGACTATACAATGGCACCAGACAGGGGTGCCCACTCTCCCCGCTCCTCTTTGTGCTTTCCCTGGAACCCCTACTCCAGGCCCTTAGACGACACCCAGACATACGGGGGCTCGGGTGGGAGGCAGGGAGTTCCTGGTGTCGGCCTACGCGGATGATGTGCTCCTGGGGCTCACTGACCCCGTCAACTCAATGAGGGCCTTGCAGGGTGTCCTGGGGGCATATGGAGCAGTTTCAGGTTACAGAGCTAACATGACCAAATCCAGCGCCCTCCCCATAGAGATTCCGATAGGGGACTTGACAGTTATACAAAGGGCACACCACCTCCGTATTGAACGCCAGTCGATCAAATGTCTAGGCATTAAACTGACCAACTTTATTCACAGAACTATACGCCTCTTCTGAAGCAGCTTATCAGGGAACTAGAGACCTGGACCGATAGACCCATCTCCTGGATAGGGAGGATTCATCCGGTCAAAATGAATATCCTACCCAGGATATTATTTTATTTCCAGTCTCTGTCCATTCATATCTCCAGGACACAGCTAGCGCCCTTGCAACAAGCAATAGGGAAATTTGTGTGGCAAAACAAACGCCACAGGATCTCGAGGCAGATATTGCACAGGCCAAAAAACAGAGGTGGGCTAGGTCTACCTAACTTATACGGATACTACATGGCGACACAACTGTCGCAAATAGCATTATGGCATTCTCCACCCGGAGAGAGGAAATGGGTAGAATTGGAGTCACTAATGGTGGGGGCTGATATTCCACAGCTGCTTATATGGGTCCCCAAAGAACATAGACCAATCATTAGATCGACTTGCCCAGCTATCCTAAACTCTATACATATTTGGGATAGAGCTCAACGGCGACACGGGCTGGCATCAGCCCCATCACCTCTGATGCCGTACCTACGAAATAGAGCATTCCCTCCGGGCATGGCAGCGCGCAACTTTAGGAATCTAGAGAGAATAGGTCTGCAGCGCATATATCAGCTGGTGCAGGATGCAGAGGTAGTGACTTTCGACGCCTTACAACAAAGGGGGCATCTCACTCCCGCAGACTTTTTCAGGTACCTACAAATAAAAGATTTTGCAAAACTGACATGGGTCCGAGCGGCGGCCCTAAAGCCCATGACATTCTTCGAACAAATTTGCATTCAGGACCATATGCCTAGGGGCCTGATAACTCGGCTGTACGCCCACCTCTGCTCAGTACCTAACGAAGGGGGAGAGTTGGCGTACATGGAACATTGGGAGAGGGACCTAGTGGAACAGCTGGAAGGGATAGAATGGCAGGAGATTTGGGAAGCCAATCATAAATCCTCTGTTTGCGTAGCGTTCCAGGAGCAAGCGATCAAGACGATGCTCCGCTGGTACACGACACCTGTAAAACTGTATCAAATGAAAAAGAGCACTACTGATGTATGTTGGAGAGGGTGCGGAATTAAAGGGACGTATATTAACATGTGGTGGGAATGCCCCCTGATAGCAAGCTTCTGGCACCAAATTAAAGATCTACTAACCCAGGTGCTGAACAGAGCTCCCCCCCTAGACCCGTGGGTATATTTGCTCAGCAGAAAGATAGATGGGTGGACTAGAAACGAACAAAAACTTATACACAACATAACTTTAGCAGCCAGGAGAGCAGTGGCAGCGGACTGGCTAAAACAAACCACCCCACTGATGGCAGCAGTCATTAATAGAATTGGGGAAGTCCACCTGATGGACGATCTGACAGCAAGAGTTAGGGGAACCCAAAAACGGTTTCAGAAAATATGGTCTCTTTGGGAAGACAGCCCCTTGAGCTAAACCACCTGGCAGGTTTTTGGGTCCACTGGTCAGGAACATCAACGGACGATGCCCCTCGCAACCCCCCCCCCCCTCCCTCTTCCTATCTTGATACCTTTCCCACTTTTCTCTATCTCTGTCTAAATATATCTCAAAGATAAACATGACAGTCTGCAGCGTGTCATATTCGGGAGAATTGATATAGATAAAACGTATGTGGCAGGGGGTAAAGTTGCGAATTTTAGTCCTCCACACAATGTATGCCTATGTTATGGAAGACAGGACGTACCCTGTATACAATGTATGTGTTAACTTTTGCAAACTGTGCAATGCTCTCGAGCTGTACATGTTATCTTTGTCAACATAAATAAAGAATTAAAAAAAAAAAAAATATGAAAAAAGTCCTTTTTTTTGGACATTAATAATTTTTTTTGTAGAAACTGCAATTTTTACATTGCATGGCTAAACATTGCAGGGCTAGTGGCTGTCTACTAGTCACATGATGTTGCAGCTCAGAGAAAAGCATTGAATTAAATGCTTTCCTATGAGAAGCATTGGATGTGCGTATAGTGCTCGCTGCACATAAGCATCAAGTTTCCAATGCTCCTCTAAGAGAAGCATTGACTTGGACCAGCAGTGGAGGAAGCCATGCCCCCTCAATTACATTGCAGGATATAGAGAGATAATTAATCCAGAGGGGATCTCTCGGTTGGAATAAGGTGAATAAAAAGCTTTTTTTTTTTTAAACTAATTTTTATGGCAGGGGGCCTGAGTACAACTATGGAGAGGGCACTATAACATTAGAAATACAGGTTTGTATTCATAATGCTACAGTGTTGCTTTAATTCACATGTTCATTATTTACAGACATTTTCAAGTGTTATGAAATTATTTTAATGAAATATTTCAGACAATAAAAAATATTAGCACACAAGCAGTAACGCATTTCATTCTCTTATATAGAGGTGTGACAAATAGAAAAGTAAGCAAATAGCTTATGGGTAATAGTAAGGAACCTTATGGCTTTCATTTAGCAATATACCCTCATAAAAATCCCTAAATACAGTGGATACAGTTACACTAGCTATTGTAGTTTGCAGAGATGTGCAGGTTACTACAGCAGCTTACAAATAATCTTTGTTCTGTAGTGATTTACATAGAAGCAGACCTTCTCTCCCACCTCTCCCGATAGTTGGAATGCAGTCATAGCATTTCTCATTCAATCGCGATCACTGTATAATGACAAAATAAGCACTACGACTGAAACAAAATTCTGGACCAAAGAGGATGTTAACTTGGGCTTTAAAAGATACATTTTGTTTTGTGTTGCCTTGCAATGGAAAAAAAATAAAAAATGTGTATATACAGTTTTGCTGGTGATGGTAAATAGAAAGTAATAGTTCATGCACGTTCTGACAAAGGGCAATGCTATGTATTGCCGCACAAGTTGGATACATTTTCAAAGCTACAACTGGTCCTTTATCTGAAGATAAAGCCAACAGCTGCAGCGCCTGAGGTAAAATACACAGAAAAGGATTCAGAAACAGCTCTGTGTGCTCATCATTGAGTCGGGTTAGCTACAGAGAAATGCTACATAAATTTGAACAGAATGATGAAAGCGATGTTGCTTAATTATAATTCCTTACCTTATTATTAAACTGGAAAATAAAATTACACAGCTCTTTAGAAATACCAATGTGTCTCAGGATACAGAGAATTAAAGGGGCACTCAATGTGCTATAAGTGCAACAATATGTTGTAATGGATATGGTGCAAGGCATCTGAGGATGCAATCCTTCCATTTTTGTCAAACTGATTTCAAGTTTCCCAAATTCAATAAATCCTTTGCCTACATCATTTATGGTGGTTAAGTGTTCTAAGGAAGATGGAGATGAGAAGCCTGCAGTCCTTGCGTTGAACTGGCTTACAGATATAACACTGCCCAAAAAGCTAGTACCATGCAAAATATGACATTAAAGAAAGTTTCAAGAGTATTGCTGATGAATTACCATTGCAGGGGCCCGCTAAATCTGTGGAGGCAGCCCTGTAATATCAAAGGTCACTCAACCAGCTCGGTAGAATGCATAAAATATTAAAAAGTTAAAAAGCTATATACGTGCTGACGTCTTGGTGTTCAGGTGATTCCTACAAAACAAAATAGCCATGTGGTCCACATTTTAGAGGGCATACAAAACCCAATAAAAAAGGTATTCATTTGCCAATAAAATGGACACTTCTATGTTAAGGTTAAGTTGGGGGTTTATGGGTTGAGGTAGCCTTTTTAGTGTAAGCAGTGTAGAGGTGGAGTAGCTTTAGAGGTAGATTTAGGTTGAAGGTTAGAAGAGTGTAGTATTAGAGGGTGTTAAGCTTTATGGGTGACCCCTAAGTGTAGACTACCCTTCACTGTAACCCCCCCAACACATTATTAACTATATACCTATACCCCCCAATACCATTACCCTAAATCACCATACAGTGTAAAGCCTTTAATTAAATTATTGTTGATTTACCTCAAATTAAACATTTGCCAATTAAAACAAACTACTTGAAATTTTCAAATACTGCATTCTGCTGTTAACTATATTTTCTAAATCGTACTTTCTTAATCTTGTCTAATATATAGATGGATGCAATCGTTTGGGGATCATTGACAATAATGTGTGATCAAATAGTTGAGCCTAAAATGGGGAGTGTCCCTCTTCATAAAGGAAACCTAAGAGGTAAGCCGTCTTCTATTTTTCTTAGTAATTATTATTTATTATTAAAAGTATTTATTTAAAAGAAAAGACAGCAATTCAAAGTTAATACGGGTACATGCATAACATATTCCAGTCCACATCTTGGTGCATTTGTGTACGTTTGGTTTACATGGTTGAAGTGCAAAATGTCCATGCTGACCTCCACTAGCCATATTTATTTTTTAATTTTTTTTATTCTTTATTTTTGTTGTGCATGTGAAAATACAAATATTGCACACTATACAAATATAACGAAGAATAGGTTTGTCAGATATAAACAGTTGCACATTTTTTATAATGAGACGAGCATCGTGCATATTTAAAAGGCATAGCAACAAGGTTTGAGTAAATGGTGGGATAGGTAAGTGATAAGTGATAAACCACCAGATTGTGACAACTTTGCTTTGGCATAGTAAGTGACACTAGAGTGACAAAATTAGTTGCAATATAGACTCAGAAAGCAAAGTGAAAACTATAACTAAAATGTCTATCTTTAAGCGTTAGCTGGCCAGCCGACATCAGAACTGTCTGCAAATTAGGTTAAGGTAGGTCACTACAGGTAGCTGGTAACCCCAACATGGGTATAGAGCTATCACATGCATCTCTATGTAAGTGGCTGGGTTGCAGACTGTTCCTGTACGTCTGAGTGTTAGCTGGTTTTAAAGTGGTTACTGTGGAGACAATAGTGTGTTAGAGCGTCTAGGCAAGGCTAAACATGTGTAAGTCCTGGTTAATGGTGTTAATGGCTGTCGGTCGCCTGGTGTGGGTAGGTTTGGGTTGGTACATTAACACCTTAAGGACCAAACTTCTGGAATAAAAGGGAATCATGACATGTCACACATGTCATATGTCCTTAAGGGGTTAATTTGTGCTAGTGGGCAGGCTAGTACCTGTACCGTTGAGGACAACATTTTGAGTATACAAGTGTACATGCTCTGCAGGAAACAAAACCTTTTAAACATGGGTTAATAACTGCAACTGTGCGCTTATCCAGAGTGGCATGGTATCTGTCTTGCGTCCAGTTACGGGACTTTAAGTGGAGCAGCGCTCAAAATAGATAGGGTCCGGCAGCAGCTCCTTTCCGCCAGAGTCCCTCTAGCCCCCTCCAGTCCTCAGGTGCCTGATGGGTGTTTGGCAGCCCTCTGGGCTTTGAAGGTAGCTGAGGCACCGGGGTTGGCTGGTTGAAACGGTTTAACTGCGGCCATGTCCCAAACATGGGGGGTCGTTGGTCTCCATGCTGGGGTGGTTTGTTCTGGTCGCGGTGGCAAGTCCAGTGCTGACAGCACTGAGTCCATTTCGGATGGGTCAGTTATGCGGGTCGTGGCTCCCCCATGCATGATGACTAGACTTCTGGGGAATGCCCAGCAATAAGGTATGGAGTGTTGACGGAGTGTTGCTGTCAGGGGTTTGAAAAGTCCCCTCCAGGTTAAAGTAGGCTTGGATAGGTCCTGGTAAAATGATAAATTGGCCGTGTCAAAGAGGTGAGTGGTTTTCCCCCTCACCTCCGCCATGATGTTTCGCTGGGCTGATCGCGTTTGGAGTTGGAGTATGACATCTCTCGAGGTGCCCACTGGGGCTTTGGCTGCTCTTCGAATTCGGTAG